TCCGAGCCGTTGGTGCGGTATGTGAGGGTTCCTGGCGTGGGGTGAGCTGGCGAGACACAGCGTGCTTCAAAGGGAACTGGATGGCGAGACTGAAACTTTTCCTTTATTTCTTCAACTTCTAAATTTGAACCATTTAAATAAAGAACGAGATTGATCAGCTCGATCAGGGGAAAATCAGTCACGGGCAGATCACAGCGGATTAGCTCGCCGTCCAGCCCCAGCAGAAAGCACGCACCAAGAACAGTGTCGTGCCAGCTGAGCTGGTTAGTAAGCTCGATGAAATCCTCCACATACCGTTCCAACCTCTGACTGGCCTGCTGCAAACCCCACAACTTGTCCTCAGCAGTCATCCCTTCTTTTTGTTTTTGGGTCCTGTCTTGTCCTGTCCTGTCACGGGTTGCCAGGGGAAAGGAGCTCGAAGGAGTACAAAGGAGGCAGATAGTAAAACGAACGGAGTCTTTAATTAATCTTCATGGGAACGTAGGAGAAAACAACCTCTTTACACGATTGAGACAGGACAAAGAAACTGAGGAAAGGAAGGGCTATAAATACTAAATCAAACGATGGACTAATAGGATGATTAACGAACACAGGTGGAAACTAATGAACTAATCAAGCAACACAGGAAAACTAGGTCAAGGCAGGGAGAACAGAAACACAGAACATAAACGTGACACCCAGCGGCAGTTACATGTGTCATGCCAAATAAGCAGGCTGCTTTATCAGCAGGAAGATTGATGGGAATAACAAATATTAGACAATCGTTGGAGGTTTTACAGTTACACAACCCTGTTAAACCAAAATCATATTGATTAGGACATGTTTATATTTTTTATGAAAAAGCAATCTGTTTGAACATAGTGGGTAAAGTCTTCCCTGAACTCCAATATAAAGCAAGAGGAACCTATAATTCCCCAGCTATAGTACAAAGTGCAGTATTATTTGAAAGAGAGCAATTATAGAATGTGGTCCTTTTTTGTTTTGTTTCTTTAGTGACACAAGTTCTTTTCTTTTCCTGAGGATAAAAAACCCCCCTTTGAAAACTTTAATCAATGATTGATGCCTGTTATGGACTGATGTAATGGGATTCCATTGGGCTAGTTAAGGTTTTAATCATGTAAAAGAAATTGTGTTTTTGTTGCTGGCTAATCAAAAATGCTTTTTCCCATCTTTGAATCACACAAGCGTCTATTGCAGAGCTTCACAAGTCAATCTCAGTTTGATGCCAGATGCAAGCAGATGGAGACACAGCTGGCAGCTCTTGTCTTTCTACACTCTATCACAGTTCCAAGCAATGTACTCTGCTAGACACCTCCCAGTCCTCAACTCCGATGAACAAGTGAGTAGCAAAAAATGTACTTGGGTATGCTGAAGCACTCCACACAACAGGAGACAGTTAAGTGCAATACACTGGGGCAATAATCAGCACTTATCCAGAGAAGTAACATGCTACCTGAGAGTTCTTTTAGATCCTTTTTCATCACTGTCTCCTTGCTTTTGATGTTAGAATACGTTCGTTTATAGACAACTATAAGAAAGCCATTGTTTGATTTACTGAAAAAAATTGATATAAAATGGCACCTTTCACTCCTTGTATTATTCTGCTGTGCAGTAGTGATGGACGTTTTCAGTGACTCTTTCGTAGGTGGAGACAAGTGACTGTCTTTATGAGTGAATCATTGAGTCATTAATTCAAAATACATTCAAAACACATTCATTCAGGATCAAAACACTGCTATTGTTTTTTTTTGCTTGGAGACAGGCAACAGTTCACTCTGCCAGACTTCATTTGAAATTATTTTCATTGGTGATTCAAATGTAACATTTGCAGTATTGTGTCTAAAATGTAAATGTTACTAAAAATTCATTTTGTTTTAACAAACTTATGTATAAAAGCAGCATCACTTTCACAATCATGCTGTAGGAATGCAGAATTGTGCCTAGGGCCGAATCATAGCCGTGCTTGTGTGATATTGCTTAAATAATTAAATGTATTGCATTATTGTTTCTCCCTGATAGGCCGACCAATTGCAGAGTGCTCGAAAAACAATTGAAAATCATCATTATTTTTCCAGTTCTATTTAGTGGTGCTGAAATTACCAACCCGAATTTCACAGGAAAATGTAACTATTTGATTAGGTGGCGATTTTGTATGAATTTTTATGATTTGAATCATATAAAAATGATTTTTTTTTAGAAACAAACAAACAAACAAACATGAACGCCAACTCTAAACATGCATTATGCATTCTGTGTGAACGATTCCTTTATTTTAGTATTTAGGAATTGCTGTCATCAATTAGCATTTCTTTATGATATGTGTTACCAAACAGTGACTTCACCTTGAATTATTGAGCATTTCCTTCAAAAAAATGGATGACTAACTTCTGACAGATTGTAATGGCTATATCTACATTATAAGTGCAAATTGCTTAAAGCTCCTCTGATTTCATGGTTTGAGCACCAAAATATGTAAACCTAAGCCACTGAGTTTTGCTGGACATACTGTGCTCATTCATTACTTCAAACTCCATCAAACCCAAATCCATCTATGCATGAACTTGGCCACTGCATTCTGATAGAGTTTAAGTTAAGTTAGTCTCACATTAAAGCTACAAAATAATTAGTGAAGTGAGAATATGCTAATCAAAAGGTTAGAAGTAGTTACTCATGCACTGGATCTAATACAAATTCAGTCTCAGTAGCCAAAAATGAAGTGATCAGGGTGAGTCACCTTTTTATCCACTGCTGAGGGAGTCAATGCATTTGGCTCATACACAAAAGCTTTAATTGGACGTACAACTCCCACACACACCAAAAGCTTATCAGCCTGCAGACAATATGGCTATTTATACTGAGTGCTTGGCATTGTCCACAGGTGCAGTCTGGGAGAGTCTTGTGTGGGGTTCACTTTTTTTGAAAGGGACACTAACAATCTAGTCATTACTCACCTGGTGCATGCTGAGGTCCATCTTTAGCTAGCTTTATACAAACACAGTGAACTTTAGGAGGGCAAGATGTCTATTGTGAGTGACTGTAGAGGCAGCACTGACTGTGCTATTAACACAAACTTGCAACCTTCCATAAGTCATGGGTTTGTACGCCGCCACTACAATAGTAATGGAAAAAATAGCCTTGGGATGTTTTCTTTTTTTTTCTGCTGTACCTAACACTTGACTAGTTGGTTTGTTCCACATCCTCCTTGAGCCAGATTCACAAGTTAACTTTTTGCACATGCTAACTCATTTAGCTCATTTATTATGTCCTGGCCTTTTTATGCCACAGCAACTTCACCATGGGCTGACAGCTAGTAACAAAGCTGTCTGTGAATACATTTACATTGAACTACATCAGGTTTTTGTGTAGTTGATCTACAGTCTTGTCCAAGTATACATGACACAATGTATAATAGAATATTTGAAGGATTAAATACATATTGCACATCACCTTTGTCTTTCAGAGCAAACACATGATTTGTAGTCTGATTAACATATGTACATGCCAGATGAATGCTACAATCACATTATCTAAGTCTGTTAATCAAGACTGATCAAACCAAAGGCTTTACATTTTAAAAAGACAAATTATTGTTTTATTCTGACAACAATTTAACTTAAGACAGGGCAAGATGACCCTCCCACCTTAAATTTCACTTGAGAATGCACAGAATCTCATCTCAACACTTTTGATGAATGGTTACGCAATTTGTTTTTAATTTTTTAATTTTATCTTAAAATCAATAGCTGTTTGATTTAGTCAATTGAAACAGTTTTGAGGTTAATTAATCTAATTTTCTGTCTGTGTAAAATACTGATTACAACATTGTATTATGTTGAATATCAACTTTTTTGTCTATTTGTTAATGAGGGATTTGTAGACACATCAATGTTTTTAGAATTGGAGTAAAAACTGTAGTTTTAAATTTGAATTAAAAAGATCAAATTAGACCCTTGGCCCCTTCAGAATTGATGCATAAGTCCCCAAGTGGCATATTGGTACTAGTGTTATTATTTTTTAAATGTAATACTTATTGTACTTAATGGGATTATTATTTAACATTTCCATGAATTAGTACATTTCAGACCTCTACACTTTCATGAAAACCTAATTGAGTGAAATTATTTAATTTTAATTCCTAGATAAGTCTTAAATGTACTTTTCAGATGAAAAGTATTGGAATTCTGGAATTTTGGTTATTCGATTATTCAACTAAATTGTCAAAATACAATTTTAAATAGTGTAGTTGATTTAGTATATTACATTTATGACACTTTAAGAAATATATAGATATTAATAAAAATTATATCAAAATGCATTCTGTAAAAGTTCATCAGGGATCTTCTTGCTCCAGGTAATGTGGTAACATGGCCTATTTGAGTAATTTAACCTTTTGTGCTTTAACAACTAAATTCAGCAAATGTTTCTGTTTATTTCCCTAATAAC